CTGCATCTTGTACAGCAAATAACCACTAGGAAGAATGTATGCAATGTGTTAATTATTGAAACTGTCCTACCAATTTGTTTTGAAACTGTCTGATCACTATTTATCAATAAAATTATGGGAAAAAATACAATAAATAATTTTTTTAAAAAAACAGATGCAATACCTCACATAAACAAAAGCAAGGACAAAAATAATCACACGATCATCTCAACAGATGCAAAAAAAAAAGCCTTTCACAATATCCAACATCTATTCATGATTTTTAAAACCTTGAATAGGGGAAATTTATCTCAATCTGATAAGAGCCATTTATGACAGACCTACTGCCAACATCATACTAAATGGGAAAAACCTAAAAACTTTCCCACTAAAATCAGGAACAAGACAAGGTTGTTCTCTATATTAATCCTGTTCAGAATAGTACTTGAAACTTTAGTCAAAGTAATCAGTTAACAGAAAGAAATAAAAAAGTATATATATACATATATATATGAAACCAAATTATCATTATTTGCAAATGATATGATCCTTTATATAGAAGATTCCCTAAAATTACACCAAAATATTCTTAGACTTAATAACTAAGTTCACCAATGTAGCTGGATACAAAATTAACACAAAAATCAATACCATTCCTATATACCAATAATGAACTCACTGAATTCATTTGTTCTTCTAATGCTGAAGATTGAATCTGGACTCATGTTTCTCAGCAAATCCAAATGAATCAATAATATAAACACTAGTACAGAAATACTTAATCTGGTGGAAAAGAAAATAGGCAAAACTCTTGAAGGGAAAGACACAGGAAGGACTTTCTGAACAGAACCCTAGTTGCATGAGAAATAATATTAAATATCAACAAATAGGATTAAATGCTTCTGGTTGCTCTTATATGAGAAACCTGAGGTGTAAATAAATTAAAGAGCAAAATAAAAGGAGATGACAGGTAACAATGAGATAGATGTTTTGCATATGAGAAGGGAACCAAGAGATAGAGGAAGGCAGGAGGGCACGGAAGAGAAGGGGATGAAAAAAGAAGATATGTTGTCTACGTGTGCTATTTACCCACAGTGAATGTAATCATTATGCACTGCAAGCATGTAGTAATAAAAATAAATATTAAATAAAAACATTTTAACTGCAAAAAAACCCCTCCTTATGCCTCTTAGACTAAGCAATAATTTCTTAGATGTGACACCAAAAGTAACCAAGACAATAGATAAATAAATAGTAACCAAGACAAGATCAATAAACTGGAAGTCATCAAAATTCAAAACGTCTGTGCACTACATGTTATTAAGTAAATGAAAGCTTATAGAATGGAAGAAAATATTTGCCAGTCATATAACTGATAATGGGCCTGTATCCAGACTATATAAAGAATTTTTATATTTCAATAAGTGAAAGACAACTCAACTCTAAAATGTGTAGAAAATTTCAAAAATTTCATTAAAGAAGGTACACAAACAGGCACAAAAGGATGTACACCATTAGTACTCATGGAAACAAAAAAGGAACCCACATGGCTGTGTGCACTGGCATGTGCCTTTAGGCTCAGCTACCTTGGAGGCAGGATTGTTTGAACCCAAGAGCTAAAAACAAGGCTGGGCTGGGCGTGGTTGCGCACTCTTGTAATCCCAACACTCAGGAGGCTGAGGCTCAGGGCCTGCCCATTTGTTCAGGTGTTTAAGTGCCCGCTGAAACAAAGCAGTCAGGCTCAGGATGCTGTGGTTTGATCTCATCCTCAAATCAAACCAGACCTACCCTGAAGGTATTCTGAGCTGCCTTAAAAAA